CCCCGGCGCGGAGCGGAGCCGCCGCCTGCCCCGCGCTCGCCCCAGCGACCCCCGCGCGGAGCATCGCGCCCCTCGAGCAGGGGGAACTGGGGCTGCTGGCGAGACCCGCACACCTGCGGGACGGGGCTGGCCTCGGCGGCTTGTTTCCCTAGAGGTGCCCCCGAAACGTGGCTTCTTCCATCTTCTCTAGTGACTGGGGGAGGGAGGAGGGGATCACCTAAGTCATGTTAGTTGGTTGATTTTTTTTTTTTTTAATTTTTTTAAGCTCTTCCTTCTTCATGTTGGAAGGGGGGAGAGAGAGAGATCCCTGCTTGGGGTCCAGTATTGGAGAGGGGACGGGATAATAACTGTGGCACCATGTCCAGCGGACCTCGGGGCACCCGCCGTGTTGGTGTTGCACAGTCGCTTTAGCTTTGACTTTCGATCTCTTGGTGGGGAGCTGTAAAGGGCAGGTTTAACAGAAACTATGTCCTAATTCTCACCTTGCACAGCTCCTGTGCAATGAAGGCAAAACTGGGAGGGACGTTACACAAGGAATGTAAGCATGAGCAGGATTTGGCTCTGAATAACCTCAGCATCACTGAAGAATTAGCAACAGAAAGAGAGCAGTTGCAGTACACACATGGGTAGTTCATCCACCCTGGAGAAAGGATGTGAGATGACAGTGTTTAAAGAGGAAATTCTGTCTGGCCCACCATTAATGTGGAAATAGTTGAAAACATTTGTTTTTTAATTGCGTGAGCTGAGACCTGCAGAATCCAAAGCTGTTAAGTAGGGCACAAGGCTTGTTTCATCTTACGTTACCTAGGCTATCAGATCTGATATTACCGTGACAGGTAGGTGGTATTGTAGTAGTAGTATCAATAATAACAATAAGATCCCTTGGTTCAGCCTTTCTTACTGATCTGTGGAAAGTGTGTATATGCTGTAGTTTACTGACTGCTTGTCTTGTACATACAGATGTTGTTATTTCTAAGGAAAACTTGCCTGAAGGGACTTGACTCATTTTTTTTCAAGATGAACATTTGCTTAGTGACTATGTATATTACCTCTTCTGAAATATGTGAGGCTTGCATAATATCTGTCAACAAATGAAGAAATCAAAGGAGTCGGCTGACCACTTTTAATACTTTTGTAATATTTGGGTCCAAACAGCATACCAAATTGCAAACCAGATTTGCTTACAAAAATATTGCTTTTTAATGGTTAGGTGCACTGCCTTTATGTAGAGTGTACATAAAACCTTTGGTGAAGCATGCAGGAGAAGTAGATATTTGTCTTTGTTCTGTTCTGCACGTGACTCGACGTACCTCAGATTCTTCTGTAAAGACAGTTTTATCATAATTTTATTACAATAAACGCAGTGGCCAAAATATTCTGGGAATGGCATTTGGTTATTGAAAGACCAGATCTATATTTTAGGATATCACTTTGAAAGTAGAAAAGAGGTGAAATTCTGAATTCCTTATTTAGGGTTCCCCACCCCCCAGGGTGGATTGTATCATTCTTTCAACTGATAGCAACATTTGTTACTAGAGCTGTGGGAAGGCTTTGGCAACCTGCAGTGATCTGCACTTCCCACCTCTGTTGCACACCTGTGCATATGATCTGCTGTCCACTAGCTTCAGACAGAGGGTCGTGTATGCTGGCCTTATTCTGAATGATGCTGTACAGCCACAACTTAGAGGTGGACAGGATCAGACCTCTTTTATTTGCAGCCTTTTGAAATTTTCTTCACCTGTCACTGCAACTGCCATAAGCACTTAATTTTGAACCCTATAATGGTAGTTCCTTGAGTACACAGAGGGATAGTTCAGCCACAAAGAATTTGCCACAGAGATCTAACCTTCATTTGCTGCAGAGTCCCATTCATTTTGGTTTTAATGAGAAATGCACATGGGATCAGGGATCGATCCTTGTAGGACCTGGCCCTTACCAGCAGTTGCACAAGATGCTTGGAGTGCTTGTGGGGTTCCTATATACCTTCATTTTCTTCCATTGATTTTTACACTCCTGCAGAAGCATTCTTCAAGGCTTGGGCCCCAAACATGAACCAGAGCAGTCTAGACAGACGCTAAATGCCCTATATTGAATCATAGACAGACAAGGTTCTTTGGGTAAATGTGGTATCTTTTTATTAGACCAGCTAAATAGTTGGAAAAATTGTTCTTTGCAAGCTTTCAGGCACAAACACAGAAAGTATATTGAATCATAACTTTCATAGCATTCCCAGTAAGGTTTTACCTCTAGGTGCCTGCCAAACGAGAGTTGATCTTCCCACCTCTGCATATAAACTGTTGGTGGACCAATATTTGGATCCATGACTCTGTGGTCCTTTAGCTACAAAGACCTGTAATTTGAGGCACATGGTCACTATAATCCCTTTTGGCAATTGACTAAATGGGTAAATCTAAGTCTAAATCTGGTGTTTTGGATGCTTGAATGTCACCCAAACATTGAGTAGTCAAGTAGTGCAATTATCTTCAAAAGGAAATTCAAGTATGCTGTGTGAGGTGTATGTATTTTAAAAGCGTACTTGAGTTCTGCACTTGTCCAGAGCTATACTTAAAGGCACAGCAGTGAATACACAGCATTGTTCCAACATGCATTGTTCAAAACATGTTTTCCAAGCAGTTGCACAGCACAGAGGAAATGATTTTAAGCCTTATTGAAGTAACAGGAAAGACTCCCATTGATTTCAGCAGGCTTTGGATCATATTTGATAAGTACAAACATTATGTACTTTCCATGCTGCTCCCTTGATAACTTCCTAATAATAGTTATGTTCCCAGTTAAAGGAAGTAGGTCACAGCATTGTTTAGCATGTTTTACAAAATGGTAAAGGAGGCTGTCGCTTATGAAAGCTTAATGAGTTAGTTTCTAAGATGATATCCTGTCCTGCCTTCAGCCTGACTTCATGACTAACTACCTCCCATGACTATGAAGTGAAAGGCAAAGCACATGTTTGTTGTCATCTGTGGCTGTGTAATACCACTGCTTCCCTGAAGCATGGTAGAGGATATATGCCATGTTGCAGTCTGTGAGCGGGTGTTTAAGCCTGTCATTTCCCACATGGATATAACATCATTAAATGCTGCTGTTCCCTTCAAAGTTTAAACAGCATTTCTTGTTCTAATGTGGGTTTTAGTATATGAATTCTGTGAAAAACTACAGCTTTTCTGAAAAGGTACTGTTTATTCTTTGTTTTAATTAGGGTGACATATCTCAAGTTATTCAGACTCCTACACAATCTACTTATTAAGATGCTGCTCTGAGGAAATCGGCTACAGCTTTTCCTCTGGAAAGAATGAAGTGTGGGAGCAGGACTGTATATTTCTATGCTGCTAATTCATGTTCAGAGAAAGATAATGTTCCAGACTATAGGAGAGAAAAATATCTGTATGAAGACCTCCACAGGTGGTCAGAGTCCACATATCTTACAGCAGATATAAAAACCTACTTTATCTCTTGCCCCAAATCATAGTTAGGGCAGTTTTGTGCAGGGAATTTCAGTGCTATTAGGGAGGCTGGCATCCTTCCTGCTTTCTCCTTTGACTGTATACAATTGCCATGTAATATATGCATTTGTAATGTAATAAATATACAAAATGGGACTGTAATAAATTAAACCCCTCTTCTGAGGGGGGTATGTTACAGTCCATGGGCTGCAGTAGCTTCTGTGCTTCACATGTAGAAAGGGATGTTTTTGGCCACAAGAGGTATGAAACTGCAAATCCTCATGCCAAGTCCTCTCTAAGATAGTCCACATGCCTATTCCTGTATCTCTCATCAGTTTGGCTGAATTTCTGTCTTAGCCCAACCTAGAGTAATGATTCTCTACCAAGGGTACTGCAGGGTGCCATGCAATGTTAGCACTGTTAGGTGTGCAAGCATGATTCACAAGATAGACCCAGAAATTTCAAATGGGAATCCATAGTGTTAAAAACATTCAGACATGGTCGTGATCTTTCTGAATTGACTACAACAGAAGAATGGCTGTTATATCTGCACTCAAAAAATTAAATGAGTGGAAGCTAAGAGTTGACACTTTCTTAGAGAGGTCTATAAAAGGGTGCCTTGAATTTGAAATGGTTGGGAGCAAGGGTACACCACCAAATATTTTAAACATGTTCTCCTGCCCCATCCTTCTTCCCCTTTCTCCTACTTCCCAACACCCTTGGAAGAACCACTGTGCACTCTGGGAGTCTAACTTAGGGTGCTGCAGAAGAGCGGTGCTCCATTGTTTTCAGCACATAGCATTAAGATACCCTGCTGAGACTGCAATGTAAAATTTTGAGATCAGCCAATAGCAGGCTGCTGCTGGAGATGTGGAAGACATGGATCTCTGTAAGACTTGGCTATAATATGTTAATAAAGCTTTGGTCATATAAAAAAAAGTCTGCTGTGTCTGTTTTACCTATCCTGTTCCCTGCTGTTGCCTACAGAACAATCCTTCTACCAAAGAAAGGCATCTTAATGGAATTAGTTGGGTCTTCTCTTCCATGCAGTTCTTTTACATTCCACAAGGTATCCTGTCTGGTAACTCTTCCTGCTATGATTCAAAGCTGGAGAATGTTTCAAGCTTGCATGTGTGTGTTTGTATAAGTATAATGAATCAGCAGGTCTGCAATGAGGAGGGGTGAGAAAATGAGCTCTTTTTTTTTTTTTTTTTCCGCTCTGACTTGCTTTTGTACTGTACCATCACTAAGGTTGGAGATCAGGTTTCCCAAGATAAACCTGCTCCTTGGGCAATAATTTTGGAGCATGTCCTTTTAAGAAAGTCATCAGAAGAAAATAGATACACACTGAAATAAATGTAGTTCTTTGGCCACTCTGAAGATGAGCTTCAGAATATTTTTTTTCCTGCTTACTGTCACTGTCAGGGATACCTTTAATTCAATTTAATTAAAAAAGCATTATAAAACAGTTGTCATGAGAGTCTTTTAATCTTCTGTAATTTTTCTTTTATTTGTAGGTGTGGAAGAAAATGTCAGTCAGCATGCATGAGAATCGTAAATCTAGGGCCAGCACTGGCTCCATAAATATATACTTATTCCACAAGTCGTCATATGCTGATAGTGTCCTTACTCACCTGAACCTTCTGCGCCAACAGCGTCTCTTTACTGATGTGCTGCTTCATGCTGGGAACAGGTCATTCCCATGCCACAGAGCTGTTCTAGCTGCTTGCAGTCGTTACTTTGAAGCAATGTTCAGTGGAGGACTTAAAGAGAGCCAGGCTAGTGAAGTCAATTTCCATAATTCTATTCACCCAGAAGTCTTAGAGCTTCTGCTGGACTATGCATACTCCTCCAGAGTTATCATCAATGAAGAGAATGCAGAGTCCCTGCTGGAGGCTGGAGACATGTTAGAATTCCAGGATATCCGAGATGCTTGTGCAGAGTTTTTGGAGAAGAACCTTCACCCTACCAATTGCCTTGGCATGCTGCTGCTGTCCGATGCTCACCAGTGCACCAAACTTTATGAGCTCTCTTGGAGGATGTGCCTTAATAACTTTCAAACCATCAGTAAAAGTGAAGATTTTCTCCAGCTGCCAAAAGACATGGTTGTGCAGCTCCTATCCAGTGAAGAACTAGAAACTGAAGATGAAAGACTAGTGTATGAGTCGGCTATGAACTGGGTTAACTATGACCTGAATAAACGCCACTGTTATCTACCTGAACTGTTGCAGACTGTGAGACTGGCTCTCTTGCCAGCCATATACCTCATGGAGAATGTAGCCATGGAAGAACTTATCACAAAGCAAAGGAAAAGCAAAGAGTTAGTAGAAGAATCTATAAGATGCAAGCTAAAGATCTTGCAGAATGATGGCGTGGTTACCAGTCTGTGTGCCAGACCTCGTAAAACTGGCCATTCACTCTTTCTTCTGGGCGGCCAGACCTTTATGTGTGACAAGCTATATCTGGTGGACCAAAAGGCAAAGGAGATTATTCCAAAGGCTGACATTCCAAGTCCACGGAAGGAGTTCAGTGCTTGCGCTATCGGCTGCAAAGTGTATATCACTGGGGGCCGGGGATCAGAAAATGGAGTCTCTAAAGATGTGTGGGTATATGATACTCTTCATGAGGAGTGGTCCAAGGCTGCTCCCATGCTGGTAGCTAGATTTGGCCATGGTTCTGCTGAACTCAAACATTGTTTATATGTTGTTGGAGGACATACGGCAGCAACTGGTTGCCTTCCTGCTTCCCCCTCAGTATCCTTAAAGCAAGTAGAGCAGTATGACCCTGCGACCAACAAATGGACAATGGTTGCTCCACTTCGAGAAGGAGTAAGCAATGCAGCTGTAGTCAGTGCAAAACTTAAGCTTTTTGCTTTTGGTGGTACTAGCGTGAGCCATGACAAGCTGCCCAAAGTTCAATGTTATGATCAGTGTGAAAACAGATGGACAGTGCCAGCCACCTGCCCCCAGCCCTGGCGCTATACAGCTGCAGCTGTTTTGGGCAACCAGATTTTTATTATGGGTGGAGATACTGAATTCTCTGCATGCTCAGCTTATAAATTCAACAGTGAAACATACCAGTGGACCAAGGTGGGAGATGTGACAGCTAAGAGAATGAGCTGCCATGCAGTAGCATCTGGAAACAAATTGTATGTTGTTGGAGGCTACTTCGGGATTCAAAGATGCAAAACTTTAGACTGCTATGATCCCACACTAGATGTGTGGAACAGCATAACCACTGTGCCCTATTCATTGATTCCCACAGCATTTGTCAGCACATGGAAACATCTCCCCTCCTAATTATGTGTATGCTGCAAGTAAAGATGAGCAGGTAAGAAATGATAGTATCTGAATACACCTATGATAAAACTTAGTGCATAGCTTCACCTGTAATGCTAAAAGGAGGGTAAGTGCCATTACTCCTGTTTTGTAGTTGGGGCAACTATGGTATTCAAATATGGGATGTCTGTTCCAAAGTCATATTCAAGTTTGTGATGAAATCAAGAATGGAACTTGCATCTTTGACTCTCAGTACCAAGTTCTCTCCACTGGATCACCTTGCCTCACAGTTTAGATGTTGAACATGTTATTTCCATGAGGTCTGATGCTAATTGGAAAATATAGTTTAATAATTCACATCTTAATTATTAATAGGGATAGGTCATATTTTCCTGATTTTACACACGGCTGGCCAGTCCACATGAGTATCCAAATATCCACTTTTGATCCTTTGCTCATGACCTGAAGAAGCACTGGTGTTTATTAAAGGATGGTGATTTTTAAGAAGTTGCAACTGCTTTATTACCAATGTATATGCAAGGACTAAATTCACCTACCTGAAACACCTTTTGAAGTCAGTGACGTAAACCTGCTTAAAGCAAGATAGCATCTGGTCTGTTAGGTCTGGCTTACATGTTTTCTTTTCAGATTAAAGTTAGTTATACATCTGACTAGAGGTAGTGCCAATAAGGTTAATGCTGCTGTCTGAAATAATTGCTTGGCTCAAACTGTTCTAGTTATGCATGTTGGTTTGAGCTCACACCAAATAGGACTTCAATACAGATCTTCTCATAACCAAGTGTAAATTTGGCCTACATTGTTTGATAGTTTTATGGCTTTGTCTTTTTATCTTTAGAAAAACCATTAAAATACCTGAGTAGCTAGAAGCATTAATGTCTCTGTTTTGAGTAAGTTTTGTAGTGCTGGCCTCTTAACTAGTATTGAAATCTGGCTTAAACTAAGGATGGCAAAATTTGGCACCTGCAAAAGAGCAGCTCTGAGCTGCAATCTAGTAGGAAGTGTAATGGTGTCATATTTTTAATTATATATCTTTTAAGTAATAAGTTGAATAACCACCTGTGGCATTTCTAACTTTCTGTCTGTCCCCTGTGAATACAGGGTTCTGGATTCTATCTGACATTAGCAAACACTCTTAACTAGCCATATCCTGGGTGTTAGAGATTAAGTGCATATTCCCAACAACTCAAAAACAGAGCAAATAGAAGGTTAGGCTTTTTAGAGACAACTTCCTTGCTAGATGGAAAACTGAACAAGTCATCAAATCCAGACCATTCAGCAAGTTTCTATTATTACTTATTTCAGCTGTTATCAGAACAGTTGTAACAAATGCCCGGGCTCAGATCTGTGCCAAGAAAAATATTGACTTATTCTTCTAAGATTGATTTAATTGTTCTAAAGCTTACAGCATACAAGACAAAGAGCAGTTTATTCCAAAAAATAGCATTCTGCAGTATAATGGCACCAAACTCTTCCATTTGCTTTGCAATATTCTGTTAGAGGTCATTAATTTGGCTTTATTAACATGGAAGATAACTGGAGGAATGCAGCCATAAACTGAAATCCCTCTAGTGTTGCATGAGCATCCAGCCAGTAGATTTTTACTGACTCCTGCTGTTCTGTCAGTGGGTGGGAGGGACAGAAAGGAAATTACTTCTGATTACCCTCTGTTTTCATGGTGCTGTGTGGCCCCAGCCTGACAGCTCTTAGGAAGATTTTAGTCTGCTTTGTTTTTTTCTCAAGCTTGGGGTGCTGAGTTGTACTTTTTCAAGAGTAGTCTACATTTTTTTTTTTTTTAAGCTTCATCTCATGACAGGAAACACTATATTTTGGCTTCAATGTCTATATATATATGCCAGGGGAAAAATGGCACACTAGTCTGAAGAAAGTCTACAAGATGCTAATCAGCAGTAAGGAACTACAACAAAAAAGTTGGAAATAATGATGCAGGTCTGTCTTACACTCACAAGAGCAAAGAGGTTTCAAGCCAAGACTGAAGTGTTTCCTGTGAGAGTGCTCTGCTGTTTTTTAAGGCGTTGCAGCACTGATGATATATGGCCATGTGCTGCTCTTGTATTTGTATGTGTACATTCAGATTAACTTTACTGGAGTTTTTTTGTATTTGCTTTTGACAACAGAACATGTCCTCTAAATCACAGCAGTGCTAACAAAAGCCATTACTAATAATGAGTCTGAGTCTGACTGGCTTCAGAATGAAATACAAAAGTGAAATCTCATCATCTAAGGTCTATCATTCACATGGAATTATCAATTGTTTAGAAGTCCATTGTGGATTTGGTGAGGCACAATGTGTTGTCATGTGTAAAGAAGGCAAGCTGATGTATATTTAAAAAAAATTGCTATAATGAAAAGCACAACTTTTTTTTTTTAAGAAGTAGATCGATATGTTCACTTTCTACACTATGAGTGAATTCAATTTAGAGTTCTCCGTGGTGAACAACAGAGAGCATTGGTGGGAGATTACCTTTTCCTCTCACCTCGGGCTCACTTTTACTCATCTCTGATCTGGTTTGATTTGGCCCATGATTAAAACAAACCAGTTGTGCTCACTATTCTATGAGGTTGTTCCATAAGACAGAAATTTCATGCAGTGGTGGGGTTTTTTTCTTTGTGTTTTGGGGTTTTTTGTTTTTTGATTTTTGAGCTCAAGTCTATTGCACTGTTTTTTTCTGTGCTTAAAAAAATTGTTTCAAAATCCAGCAAAAAGACTGATTTGGCCCAAACAGCTTAACTTTTTGAAAATTAAATGGACTATATGTACATAAAACTACTCTGTGAATAGTTTCTATTGGAGTCACTGAGTAAAAAGTAGGGCTATATGAATAAGGGAGGCAGAATCTGATCCTAAGGAATTGTGTGGGTGGCTTATTTACTATCAGTAGCTGGTGATTATACAGACGCACCAAATTCCATCAGCAGAGTCTCTGTATCTTGAGCCTGGCTCTTTGTTTTTCTTTGACATCTACCAAAATCCTTATGGTGTAATTATCTCAACAAAAGCCTTTAAGCCTTTCCTTCCCCACTCCCCCTCTCTGTTTTTAGTTTACTCCGTTATTTGGAGAAGAAAACTGGAACCTCGGCTGTGGAGAAATGGTTTTTATGAAGAAAAATTGTTCAGTATCTCTTGAGTTTGAAGAAAATCATCTGCACCTTTGTAAATTATCTGACGTATACATGAAGGAATAAGAGGAAAAAATGTCCACTGCATCAGCACATGGTATAAATAAGAATGAATGAACCTGTGATCTGGTCCCTATGCTAGCAATTGTGGATAAATGCCAATGTTAATCAGTGATTTAAAGAAAAAAAAGAACTTTTCATAACTGTGCAACACACAACTCTCAATTTCCATGGACTCCACTGTTTGTGCGTGAAGTTTTGAAATGGTTGTCACCTCTCTTTGTGACAGTTTGAAGTGTCAGCACCAGCTGCAGGCCAGGTCTGAAACAGTGAGATGTCGCTGTGTATGAAGATAAAGCTGTATTGCTGCAGAATTCTGCTATAGGAATGAGCTTGTTTATAGGCAGTGCCTGAAGCATCCATTAGATTAGTTTATTGTATTGTCCTATCTGCAGTTAGTGACCTTTTATCTGATAAGGAACAGCACAATCTGTGTGTGTGTGTGTGTGTGTGTGAACTTTTGCAGCAGTGGGGAACAAGCGATGAAAACCCCAAATTATTTGTAATTTCCCCCCTTCCTTCCCTGTATTTATCAGTGACTTTACTGTTCCATTCCTGTTATGTTACTTGTTGTAGATGTAGCTATTTATTGTTCAGTGCTTGCATGCTGAAACAATGCCTGCAGTTTGTCTTCATGTTGTAAGGGCTTCTGTGAATAGTTGTACGTTTTGCACATTTTGTGATCTCTGACTTGCTCTGCTGCACAAAAAAAGAAACTGTTGAGTAACAGTTGGAGGTTAGGGGTAGGGCAGGGGGGAGGGGATGGCTTCCTCAGTCGGAAATGGAAGGATTACAAGGCAGGATCTTAAATTACACGCATAGTAAAGGAAGAAGCCATGGAGGTCACTTTCTCAGGCCACCGACTCCCCAGGTTACATGTGGTGTGTCTTGTAGATAGTGTCCCTGCTACATTTCATTTGCCTAGTCATGTCTTTGAATTTCTAATCTGGAATAGCCAAAATCTTTTACAGCTTTCTTTTTTGTGCAGCCTCCTGATTAAATAGAAAATACTGTGGATTAGTTTCTGTATATGGAGCCCCCAGTAAAGGCATTGTCCAAAGTTATTTATTTATTTATTTATTGGTTGAAACTATGGAATGTTTACCATGGCCACATATACCTGAAGGAGTGGAGTCTTACTGATTCAAGGACATAAAGAAATAACCAAGATAGATTAGTACTATTAAAAAAACCCCAAAACATTGCACTGATTAGGTTGGTTCATCTCTGTGGTTTGAAGTACATAGCATGCTGCATGCTTTCAGAGGTCTAAAGGGTGTAGTAAAATTATTCATTTTGATATTTTCATCACCTGAATATGTTCTGAAGTAACCCTCAAGCTGCTGTACCTTTCTTTTTCTTTTTTACATAGATAGCTAGGTAAGTGTTCAAATACTTTGGATACTCAAGTGTCAAATATGAACCTGATAAACCAAAACTTAATCATACCAATTTTGATATACTCAGTCGAGTCTTGAATCAAGTACAAACCCACTCTTTTCTTGATAGCAGATGCTTATGTTTTATAGGTGCTTTCTTTCTCAGACTTCATTATGAAAAAAAATGTTGGATTTCCCTCTCTCTCCCCCCTCCCCCCAGACCCACT